TTTTAAAGTAGATTGCCGTTTTAACGCCAAAGATGTCTGCGTCAGCTGGCGAGCACACGCATCGGTAGTTGCATTCACCTGCCAGCGGAGCGCGCGGTTCTCTGGCGCGCCGGATCTAGATCGGATAATCACTGTGATTGGTTCTGGCCGCTGCTGCCGCGGCGCTGCGGTGGGGTTGCGCTGCGGGCGTGCAATCACCGGCTGGTATTTGCTGGCTGGCAGAGCGATCCTCTTCCCGCGACTTTCGCGCGCGCGCGCACCCCGTTGACGGAAACGCCAAAGCAGCGCGGGTATGAGAAAGAGGGGGAGAGTGAGCGAGTGAGAGGAAGGGGGAGGGATGAGGAGCACAAGAGGAAAAGGATGGGAAAGGGGAATGCGCAGAGGAGTCTCTTTGATTCGGAAGGCAATAATCACTCCCCCATGCCCCACTCCTAGCGACGACGACGCGCCTCGATATCCTTGCAGATTCCGGACAACGAGGAAAGGAGGGAGGAGGAAAAAGAAGCCTAGCTAGACATTGCATATTCCTGTATGACAGAGTCGATATTCCCTTTCACGACGCCGCGATTGGTTCGGCGACGGCTTTTGTCGGTCTGTATAATGCAACCCCCTCCCCCCCCCCCACCTCGTCTTGCTCTAAGAGGCGGATTTCTGCTTTCCTCAGGCGGTAAGACCGCCTCGTCGCGATGGATTTGGCGCGCGAAGGGAGAGGCGTCTTGACAGTCTTAAAGTAAGTGGCGGATGGGGATTCCGATTTTATGGGGCAGAAAAAAAAGGCTGCCGCCGGGTCCTATATAACCATCCACAGTATTTTTTTTTTATGTGGATCTCTTTATTTTTCCCCCCCAGCCCTGGTGTCCACTCGCGCTTTAGAACACGTGCCGCCAAGGCGTTGGGTCCGGATGCCCCACCCCGCTGCGCAACGCCTTGAGGGGCAGTATGATCGTTTTACGACGGGTCGTACAATGTTGGCGCCACTCCACTACATTGACCAGCCCTTTTATTTATTATTTTTCTCGCATCATGAAACGCCCGCACCCTATCGCCCCAGGCCCGCCTTTACTCTTTCGTTAAAAAAAAAACGTAAAAAAAAAGTTCATGTCGAAGCGTTTTGTAAGTACATATTTTTCATGTACAAGAAGAATCTGCTACATCATGTTAACCCACTTACACGAGAGGAATCTAGATAGAGAGAGTGGCATGAGTGGGCGAAATAGGGAGGGCGGAGGGCGCCTGCGAAGTCGAGGGTAGGCCACCGGCGCGTCCCGAGCGCACCGCGGGCAGACGGGACGGCCTACCTCCCAGGCGGCCGCAGAGCGGAGGTCCCCCACACCAGCAGCGCGCGCGGCGACATTCGGCTGTCGTCATCGTCGTTCTCTCCCCCTTGTGCTCGGGCGGCCATAACCAGGCCAATGGCAGCCCGTTCGTCGTCGAGGGGAAGATAGATAAGGAAAGAGCGGTGGCGCGGCGGGGTGGTCGTCGTGGGTGGAGGAGCGCCGAGGAGGGGAGAGGGAGGAGGAGGGCGAGTGTGTGGACGCGCAGCTGTTGAGGAGCAAGGGCCGTGGGCCGTCCACCAAACGCGCCCGGCACTTACGCACGGCGGCCACGAAGACGGCCTTCACGCCGCTCTTCATGGCCCTCCGCGGCGATATCTTGCCGCCACTCTTGGCTGCACCTCGTTCCGCGGCGGCCTGGAGCGCGCCCACGTCGTCGAGCCCCTCTGACCTATCCTTCAGGTCGGGCCCCGCCCCCAACACACACACACACACGCGCTCCTGCCGCCGCCACCGGTCCCCGAGACTTCATAAATGTTTGCTCTCGAACAACAAACGGCGCAGCGGGCAACAGATTCTCTCCGGCCGGCCTCGCCCACATCGGCGCGGCGCGGCGGGGCACCTGGGCTGCCGGGCTGTTTGTTGGCGACGACCGGGTTCAGATGTCAGGCGCGCACGTCTTTTTGTTTGAACGCCCACCAGCGCCTTTTCACGTGTACACTCTGCTGCTGGCGCTCGCTCGCTTGCGATCAAACAACATTTCGAAGCATTTCGGTAAGAGGATGATGAAACTGTACTTTGGTGGAACAGAATGAGAAAGTAAAGCAAAGGGGACTCGAATTAGCGCTCAGGCGTCGACGCCGTCGCCGCGTTCTATCTATACCGAGCCTAACGCATGGAAATTGTCACTTTCCGCTCTAGTTCGCTTCAATGCAGAGCGCCTTGGAGCCCGTCCGCCCGCCTGCGGTAGGAGACGGAGGGGTGGCGGCGGGGGCGAGGAGAAGGTGGTGGGTGGGGCCGCCCGGCGGGGCGCGCGGTGTGGGTTGGGTCCTGGCGGTGTCTTTATTGAGGCTGTTTTGCACACCAAAGCGCGCGGCACACACAACAGGACTCGATCGCTGGCGAGGTGAGCAAAGGGCAAGAAGGGCGGCGGGGGTAGCGGCAGAAAAAAGCAAAAGATAAGAAGAGAGACGAGAGGGGAGCAGAATTCACATCCAGAAAGATCCCCTGGAGGTCGGAAGCAGTACCGCAAAAACAAACAGCGCCTTTCGCAGAGGGGCAGAGTTCTCTCGCCCTGACCCTGGGTGGAGTGGCCTGCGACGCTGAGTGAGTGAGTGACTGAGTGCGAGAGAGAGAGATGGGGTGGGGCACAGTCAATGTAGCTTCTTGGGTTTCCGAAAAAAAGAGAGACGGTCGAACAGAGAATGAAAGAAAATATCCCCCAATCTGCACCATTTCGCAGTCGTCGGTTTGATTGGGGGGTAAGATTTGAGGAAGTCGTCTCGAGACGTTCCGCGGGCTCGGCTTTGAAATGCGGTGTTTGACTTGTCGGCATGCCTCGCTTTTCCTTGCCGGCCGTTGCCGGCTCAGCAGATAACTTTGGCCGGGCTGTTGACAGATGGACAGGCGGGGAGCGGTAGAGGGAGAGAGTCGGGACTGCGATCGCCCCGCTCTCCGGGGGGAGGGAGGGGGGACGCTCGTGGGAGAAGTCGTAAGTGACCCCTGGCGAAAGGCTTTGGCCTGCCTGGCCGTATCGGTACGGCATGTGAGCTCGCACCACTGGACGGAGCGGCACGGGCGGCACGCTCGTCAACAGACGGTTTTATTTGCTCGGCTACTCGTACCGCTCCCCCGCTCGCCCTCCCCTGGCCCAGACACCCACCCCCCGCTACCCCTCCCCCGGAGCCTAATCAGATCCTGCCACCCCTGATTAGAAAGGTCGTCTGCCGTGCACCCTTCTGCCTGCACCAACCCTACCCGGTTAGTTTCGGACACGGCGGCTGGAGCGGAAGCGTTTAAATCTCGCGCTTCCCCGGCGGCCTGGCACAACCGCCACTCATCCCCC